CTCTGCCTCCCGAGTGCTGGGATTAAAGGCGTGTGCCACCACCACCCGGCCACAACACTCATTTTTGTTGTGGAGAAGGATGCACATTTCATGATTTTACCTAACTGTTAATCTATTTCAATCATTCCTGTCAAAGACTTTGACATTAGAAACCTTTTTTGAATTTTAAATGCTCCTACAAGATAATTGCTTTATCTCCACATTGTGGCAGTATTTTGCAGTCTGCAGGAACTGGCAGCTACAATCTGTTTTGTAGAAGTGGGCCATGAAATCCTGACATTTCAAGTTCAATAGCACAGGTCATGTTACGATTGACCTCTGCTTCCAGATCTCCATGGAATGAAGAACAGCTTTCTCATGCCCCAGCACTTACTGCAATGCCTTCTTCTATGTGCCAGACTGAACTCCCTTGAAAGCATGAGGCCAGACCAAGCTACACTCCTCCCTTCGGTGATTTCTGTCAGGTTTGCCATCACAATGACTCCTAGTCATTATTAGTAAGCCTATGGTTTTGCTATATCTTGACATTATTTAGTCTTTTCATTTTTCCCATTCACTTGTTTCTTCCCAATATGATTGTTTGGTTTCACTTCCTGCTTTCAAAATTTTGTATTCTTTATCTGATTCTGTGTCTGGACTATCCACATTTCTAGCTTTTTATTTTTCCTACGGATTTATTTTCATGCTTTTCTGGGGTTATTACTCAGATAAATTATTGCATGAAATCAGTAAAAGGTACACTGTGTTTGTGTTTATGAGATACATTTGCATCCCAGATCTGTCATGGATACATTTTCCTGTTAAGTGGACAGTCATTACTTTTTCAAATGTGGAGACTAAGAGCGGTTATGGATCAAATGCCACAGCCACATAGTGAAGGAGGATTTCTGCCTGGTTAATGCACATCCACCTACACAGTGGTGAAATTCTCCTAGAAGATGCTGCTTGAATTTTTATATTTCAGGTGACATATGCATCAATATCGGATGCACACCTGTACAATGAGCACACACTTAGCAGCAGTTAAGGAAGAGGGCACTGAGAACTGCCTTGTCTGAGACTATCTTCCTCACTTCATCATGCTTTAGGAAAGTGGACTTTTTTATAGCACAATATCTGCCTGCCTGCCTGCCTGCCTGCCTGTCTGTCTGTCTGTCTGTCTGTCTGTCTGTCTGTCTCTCTCCCTCTCTCTTTCTCTTTCTCCTCTCATAAACAAACACAGATAGTTATCCAGGCATACTGGGGTGGGAAAAAGAAACTGCACACACACACACACACACACACACACACACACACACACACACACACAAAACTCAACACAGATTTATTTGTGGCCGGATCATCACACATCAATGAAAGAGTCCCTCTCTTTTGAGACAAAGGACATAGGTTCCATTTAAATGGCGAATTAACCAATAAACATGTGAATAGTCAAATTAAACTGACATGGTAAAGACAAGCTGGGAAACATTTCATGAAAAATCTTCCCAGTGGCAAGACAGTTTATATCATCTCACCTTGATACTTTCATACACACCCAGTGACATATTTATAACCTGATTTTCCTTCTCCTATATATCTGTTATATGTTGAACATTTACTCTATAGGAATTTACTGTCTAGAATTCTAAATATAAAATTGTAGTTCATTGTTTTCTCTCTACAGTATTTACCTTTGCATCTTTTGGAGACATGCTACCCAGAACCCAAATAAATCACACACATAGGATTATTCTTTCTTACAAATGTCTAGCACTCCCCTAAGAGTCCAGACTGAGAGAGCATCCCTCTTTGTGTTATGGACACACGATATTTGTTTGGATTCCAGGGATAAACACTGATCCACTGCCCAGGGTCCCATAGGTTGCCCAGGCTCTTCACTGACTCTCACACTCAGGGGGTCTGGATCAGTCCCATGCTGGCCTCCCAGCTGTTGGTCTGGGGTCCAAGAGCTCTCCCCTGTTCAGATATGAACTTAACCTCTTTTTAATGTCATTGTGTATTTCATACTAAAAAGTCTTAATTATATGCATTCTTAGAGTCTATTTAGGTCCTTGTATATCCAGTCTTATCTGGAGATGTTCAAGTGATGAAATTGGAAGCATTTATTCTCCCAAATACTTCCCCGGTTTCCTCTTGTCTTTTCTACAGTCCTGTGTTTAGCTCATCAGTAGTCTCAAAGGACCAACATTTGGGAGTCAGTCAGTGTCCACAGTGCATTTAATAACATGAAAAGAACACCACTGTGCTTGACAACCTAACCACACCTTTTGTGTAGTTTGAAATGTCTGATAGAAAGACATGTTTTAATAAAGGCAGTGAATGACTGCCAGAATTTCGAGATTCATTGTTTGGAATCAACTGACAGATACCTTTATTGTTTAATTTTACTTTTCTCTACTGAGATCATATGTGTGGTCTTTGAGAGGCATGAAACATCTCAAATCAGCCAAGTATGCATTATTATAAACGTGGTACATAAATGTACACCAGTGCTCTGCTGACACCCCAAATGATGGGCAGTGTTAGTTCCTTTGTTTCAAGTAGATTTCACAGTACAGGAAAAGATCCTTTTATTAGATGATGGGCCACCTTAATAACCTCCATATGTGTATGTTCCATTTCCTTAAGTGTATCTTCACACTCCAGGATGAGTCTAAGAATGAGGAGCTTTTTATGTCAGAGTCCAAGTCTTCCTGGACCACACTTGCTATTGCTTTGGCTGATCTTGCTGGACTAAGGTCATATTCTCCATGGGACTGTCAGGGCAGGAATTTTCTCAGCCAATGTTGAATATAGTGACAGCCAAGCCTCTCATATTTGAGAGCAGGCTAACTAATGACAAGGGGAGTGTGGTGGAGTAAGATTAACTCCTGTGTCTGAGTCAATGGAGTAAACAATATTAGACTAAATGATACTTATAGAACACAGTCTCAGACTGGCGATCTCTGACATGGAGAGAGTGTGAAAGCAGAAATCATTTGCACCCCGTGATATTGTATTATTTATAATAATTCAAAGATACAGTTGTCAGGTTTCTTACAATAAACATTCTCTGTAATTTGTAAAACTTTCAAAAGAGCTAGCCTTTGTGTTTCTGCATTTGCATAAAATCCTTTATGTATTTCATTGTGATTGTGTTGCTTAATGTAATGTGATATCTCTGTCACTGTGGAGAAGAAGACCTTTTCATATTGGTACAGGATGGATTTAAGTGAAGCAGCACTCATCATCTCTCCTTCCCTTCACATGTTATTCTCTTTAAATATTAAATAAAAATGCTGTTCAAACTGTAAGGATGGAAACATAATTTGGATGTTACTTAAAAAGCAGAATGAAGGAGGATGGAGTTTGGGAAAACATTTACAGTCAGTGGGCTGATCTCACTGAGTTGGATGGGGAGATAAAAGAATCTCAGGGAGCACTTGTCCCACCTCTGGAAACACCACCTTATCTTTCTATGCCATTTACTTCTTAACTATGCAGTCTTTAACATATTTTGTCAACAAGTAGCCTTATCTTGATGTGTGATTTTAACCATTCCTTCTCCACACCAAGTACACACATCCATCCATCACAATGATTGTTGCCAATTTTTTCTAGGCACTAAGAACACAGCCATGAAATACTGACACACGTGCACACAAAGCTTGAGTTCAGTAAACAAATACACATCTGTGTTTCTGAAGGAAGTAACAACTCAGGAAGAGATCATGGTGGGTAAGGACTAGGAGGGAGGTTGCTGATCCTACAGCTTGTTTATTTATGAGATCAAGGAAGTTTTTGGTGCTAAATGAAATACACCAGTCAGCCATGTGTTTAAGGGAAGAGGATGGCCTTGGGGACAGATGGCTTAACAAATGCAGACAGGATATTTTTTTTCTCATGAGCTAAACCAATTTTTAACAGTATTTAAAATCAACAGCAGTCACAAAGGCAAGTTGAACTTTATTATGATGGCTGAAGAGTCAATTAGTATCTATAACCTAGTATCTAAGGGATTATTGTATACTTCCTTACATCCCTAATTTCCTCAACTGATCTTTAGTCACTCCAAGAATCAATGTAAAGAAAAAGGGTGGTGGCGCATGCCTTTAATCCCAGCACTCGGGAGGCAGAGGCAAGCAGATCTCTGTAAGTTCGAGGCCGGGCTGGACCGACAGCCTCCAAAACAATACAGAGAAACCCTGTCTCGTAAAACAAACAAAAACAAAAAAACAAACAAACAAAAAATTCTTGTTATTAAATACAAAAATCTTAGTACAAATTCTTCTAAGTAACAGACTACCAGCTTTGATTCAAATTTCAAACAAATAATAACTGCCTTCACATGAATATATCTCAAATACAACACTACTGGAAACCTGTCTCTACACCTAAAAGGTAATTGTTTGTGTGCAACTCAAAGCTGGGCAGGCCCCCAGCTGTTCCAAACTGAGCAAAAGGAAGTAGCAGTTTAATAAAATATTAACTATTTGGCACGGGGAGCGTCGCCCCAGGACCTTCTCTGCACACTTTATACAAACAGAAAATGCACAGGTCTAGGGCAGCCGCTGGGGACAGATCAACCCCACCTGTCCAATACAAGGCGTGCCACCAGGACAGCATGGGAGAGTGTGCAGTGGCCAGGCAGGTCAACCTTCCACCCGGCAGCACTACAAAGGCTGCAGCGAATGGAACAGGGCAAGGCTAGTTACACAGGGCTCCAGGATGGTGGTGAGGTTCTGAGACCTGGCTAGGGATCTTCCCCGGGGTACTGCGTCAGGCCCCGCCCACAGACAAGCCCCGCCCTTACATCTGCAGAAGCAAACCCCCGCCCTTCGGCAAGACCTGCCCTGCAACAGCACCAGTCCCCCCACCCAAGAGCGAGTCTCCAAAATTCTGTCCAACTGCCAAACCCCATCCCTGTCTGGCCTGTGAGAAATTTCGCACTACCCCGCTTCTCTCGAGGCTCCACCCTCGGGGCGGGGCTGATTTCTCACACTCTGCGGCTGCGTGGTGACCAGGTCTAAAGAGCCCAGGAGCTCTGCACATGCGTACTTAGGTGTGGGCACGTTACTGGAAAAGACGGTTGGGAGTGGAGGAACTCTGGCCTCTGAGGCTCTGAAACCTGAGTTTCAATGTTTTGCCAGCTGCCTTGTTTGCTTCTCAGAGAATCAATGTTTTCCTGCCGAGCCAGCAGGAGAAGAAAACCATCACTTATTCCCAACCCAGAGGAAGAGGATCGCGACTCGCGTTTCCCTTGTGGGACAGGATAAAGTCCACCCAGGGACACTTCAGTGAAGTGCAGCTCAGCTTTTCATAACCGTGAGACTCTCCTGCATCCTGGTTAATATTAGATTTAGAAACGCTAGGACCCAGCCTGACATTCATGTCCAGAGTTTATCTCTCCACACCAAGGCTTTGCAGTTATTCTGACAGCCTGTATTTTCAAAATCAGCTGTTTGCCCTCAAGCTCAGTACTTGCCTTGTGTCCTTTAGATGGGAGAATCGCCAGGAATCTATAGTTTCTGTCTGGAAGGCTGTGTAAAGCTGGGCCATTTCCTTTTCTTCTTTTCATTCTTCTCTTCTTCACTCCCCTTCTTTGTCTTCCTAACCATTTCTATTTCTTTCCCCCTTATAAATTATCCTCGAACATTTTACGTTTAAGGGAGCAAATGCTTCTATAGACAAGTGAGAATTTACCCCCACATTATTGACTTGCAATTTTTTTGTTTTTCCATTTTCAGGAATTTTCACATTTTTGTTAGTTTCAGGTTTTGATAAATTTCATGGGACTACAAAGTACAATTAACACAAATTCATCTCATGTGTAAGGTTACTAATCTCCACGAACTTCATGTTTGTTTCAACTTCACCAACCTGCTATTTCTTCCTAACTACTCATCTCTGACTCCCTTATCTAAGAGAATTCACATTAGAAGTCTTTAAATGTTAAATTCTCCTCTGCATTTTTAGGTTGTTCTCCTCCTTGCCTCTTAGCACTTCTGTGGCACAGAACTGTATCACGGACCAGTGTCATGTGTGAATTACAACACTCAGAAATGACTATCACCAGATGTTCCCCATCTTTAGAGTGACTGACTTCTCTAACTGCTCCAAAGTCAGCCGAGGCAGATGCAGTTGGTCCAAGGGCATGGTACATCCTGTATCCTGAAATCTTCCAGCTCCTTTGCCCTGGGACACTGTGAAGGGGAATCTTGGATGCTACCTTCACACCCAGTTAAGAACCCTGGGCCTGTCTGGGACTTTTTCTTGGTTCACAATAGATACAGGAGGGCCTACCCACTGTGGGTGGTACTGTCATCCCTAGGCAGCAGTGCCTGGGTTGTGCAAGGAAAGTAGCTGAGCTTCAGCCAGGGAGCAAGCCAGTAAGCAGTGTTCCTTCCTGGTTTCTGTTTCAAGCTCTGCCCTTGAACTGCTTCCTTGGCTTCCCTGGATGGTGAACCACAAGCTATTGTATAAAGTAAGCCTTTTCTTCCCCATGTTGGTTCTAGTTAGGGTTTTATCACAGCAATAGGAAGCGATTTCAAGGTGTGTAATTGCTCCAGGCTTTTAATCAGTGCACTTAAGTTCTGCCTCCTTTGTAATACTTCCTTAATTGCTCATTCGATTACAATTTTCTTTATGTCAGTTTTAAAATTGATTTGTTATCATTGAAAACTTTATTACATAAACTCAGAGAAACAATTCTCAATGCAAACTAATTTCTATTTCCAACCCTTTCCTTCCTGAGATGTCTTGTCCACAGAAGTATTCTGTGACAGTGTTGTGCTTGCAAACTTGGGGAAGATTTCTGTGAAGAGGATGTGCTTGTTATCTGGGAAAATAATGATGCATGAGGGGGGAAGCTGTGCAGGTTGGCTAGTAGCTTGTTAAGAAACACGGGGCATTGCATAGCTGTGACACAAACAAACACATCGTGTGCCTAGTGTCCTGATTGACACAATTGTTTCTTCCTGAAACCGTTTATGTGCTTCTTCCTCATAGAGACTTTGGTGGCATGAACTCTCACTACTCAATCTTAAGCAATGTACTTACCAACCAGTCGATAGGCTTCCGGTATACGAGTAGTGCTCATGGGCATTAAAGCAGACTGTTCCCTGAAGCTGTCTCTGGAGAGCTTCAACTGCAGGCCCTTTACTGACCCACAGGCATTACAGTCTGCGGTGAGAGTGCCCAAGAAATGAATGCAATTCATTTCTAATACTTTTTTAGGGAAGGAAGGCTGTAGATGATATTCTATTGCAGCGGTTGCAAGGACACTCTAGTTTTATTATTCAATGACTATATGTCAAATGTCAACCACAGGAAGAGATCATGTCTCATATTTTAGTATTCTTTATGTGAATCTGAGGGATGAGAATATAGTAAATGCCCATGAATATTTTTTACTATAATTTCACAGGTTTAAAAACAAGTGACTTTTTCAGACATGTTTTGTACATGGCACTGTAAGTTTGTGTTGTGTACTGAGCATCATAGATAAATTTTCACAGGATTCTATGTGCAAATATATGCTACCTGGTAAAAGTATGTACATCCATGCTCCATTACCAACTCTCTGTGCACCAACACATACCCTGAACTCAGAAAAAACACTGGTGTCACATGTTTGACTTCACTAAACTCTGCTTCCCCCTCTAAAGCTGAGTGTCTTGGCTTTAATGACTTGCATGCAGTAGATAAAATGCTTTAGTATGTTCCATGGCCAGCCTGGTCCTGGAACCTCCCTGCTGGAATGAAGGGTGGGTTCACACAGGACACCTGGGCAGGTGGTCATCATTCCTCACAATTCAACTCTCACATTTCACTGTGTCCCTAGGGACAGAGTACAAGAACAGCCAGAGTCAGGCTTTCATAGCCCTACTCAGGGAGACAGAAAACTATTGGTGAATAAATCCATTTCCCTGTGTATTCTTGTCAAGCTAACAATTCTAGAGATTGACTACAAACAAGGATAGTTTTGCAGCATTTTAAGGTCTATGTTAGAACTAACTTGTAATATATTAGGGATTTATTTTAATCAAATATTTATATTAATATTTCAGAGACATCCTAGTTATAATATTATAAAAGGTTTTGGGGAAGAATTGATTTGAGGAGTAAAAATTGAATTGTGTTGATTAATAATAAAATTAACTTATTGTCTGCCATTTTTAAAAAATATTTTATAGGACAGATTGTTATTTTGGCACAGACAAGCATAGACAGACACAAATTAAACGTATTTAAAGCATTTATAAAGTGAGTAAAGTAGAATATAGATTTATCATAAGGTCAGCATGGCTGTTGGTTTGACATTTGACCCAGTTTACTTGGAAAGGTGAGCCACATTAACCGTTCATGAAGAAAAACATGAAAGGAGTTTCCTCCTGTCTCATCAATGAACTAATTAAAGAATTCTTGCCAACAGAAATAATACCAAACTATTCATGGCAATCACTGCACACCATTACTCTGCAACATGGCACTCTGGCTATTTTTTATCCTGATATAAAGCATTTTGTTGTCAAACTAGCCATGTCTGGAGTACAGTGAAATGTTACCTGGAGTGTTTGAGTAGGGAAGGTTCCAGGAGCCACTGTGACTGGAGCCTCCTCCATGAGCCTGTTCCTTGGATGATAGTGCAGGGAAAAGGAACTCTAAGACATGGTTACTCTTTGTTTGTGGAAGGAATTTTCAGTTTAGTGAGGCTTTAATCTTTCACGAGCAGTACAAAGACATTGCAGAGACCCTTTCAGATGCCACAAGTAACTTCCCACTGTTAACTCCATATTATTTTGGGTTATGGATGTTAAACAGAATGAGTCAGTCTTACACACTATTTGAAAGGAAATCCACATTTCACTCATATTAGCTTTTACACATTGCCCCTTTCTTTTTACAGATGAAAGTGTGAATTCAGCCTTCACTGTCACAAACTGTGTGCCTGAGTTTACCTCATCTGTGGAAACTGCAGAAGTGAGCACTTCAGAGAGTGGAGGATGAGCCTCTCCATGGGAAAGCCACGTTGCAATCACACTGGTTCCCCTGCCAGGTGAGGATGCAAGGTCCTCTCTGATGGTTCTTGGGACCACACCCAGAATTCTCCATGACACATTGTCCTCATGTCATTGCCCATGCTGTGAACATACTTCTCAGAACACTGAGAGTGATATTTTAAACCACTCTAATGTGTGCTGGGGCAGTATCATTCTCCTCCCTGATTCTCAGGTTGTTCTGGATTTGTAGTGCACAAAAAGGACATTGTAGGCTTCCCAGCTTTCATGAGTATGTGGTCAGTACTTTAAATAACATTCAATGGCCATTATGAAAACTAAATATGTGTGCTTACGTTTAAGTGTATGTGATGTGTATGTCAATGTAGGAGCATGTATCTGTCTATATAAGTGTGTGTTCATGTGTGTGATGTGTATATTAATGTGTTCTTGGATGTGCTTATGTGTGTCTGTATGAGTGTATGTGATTATGTGTATGAATGTAAATGTACATTCCTACCTGCCCATTTATACATGTTTGTGTGTCCATGTTTGTGGATATGTGTACATAACCATATGTGTGTCACTTTGTGTGCTTGTGAGTATGTGCTTGCTGTGTTTTTATGTGTGTGTATATTTATACTTATATATCGCTCCATATATATGTATTGCACATGTACGTGTGTTCCTCATGACTGAAATACCACTACAAATACAATTTACCAAGTTTCTGACTTTCGTAGAGTAACCTTGCTCTCACAGTCTAGGGTGATTCATTTTTTATTTCCTGGAGGATTTTTATTGTGTTGGGTGTGCTTTCTTCATAGACAAGAATATTTGAGTTTCATGCTTTTTTCCCTTGTCTATTACAGCACTTTTCTCTTCTTGTTATCCTGGTTTCTATTTCAGCACTAACAGACAGGAGGGAGTGTCCAGGGAGGACATTCTTTCCTTACTCTCCCTGAAGCATGCCATTGATCATAGGTGTTTATAAATCAAATTCTCCTTTCAAGGAAGCTGTGAGGTTTACTTGGAGTGCGTGTTGAGTTCCATCTAGTACCTTCTGGGTCAGTTCATAAGATCTTCAGTCCTTTTTCTGCTTCCTTAAGGCCATGGTGTAGACTTTGCCCCTCTCATGGCCTTGTGTTGCAGGAGGAACAGCTTATGTTTTCTCTTTCCTCTTCCAGAACCCAGAGCATCCTCCAGATCCTCACTGTGACAACCATCCAGGAGGGTTGAGCTTGATGGGATGAGATCAGCAATACAGCAGCAATTTCAGAACAGCCTCCTGTGGTTTTCTGGTCCAGGTAGCTTCTCCTCCAGGTAAGCAGATTAGTGTTGTATATCTATGCCTCTGTATCCAGAAGTAACTGACTGTATGAGCTCAAGTTCTCTCCTTTCTTAGAGAAAACTCTTCACAGGATTTTCTGGTTACTAATGAAAAACTGATTGTAAGCTTTACATAACTTTTAAATGAAGTGAGTCTTCCCCTCTAAGGTCCTATGCACTGTTTTGCCATAGTGGGACTACAAATGCCTTCATATCATGGGTTCTTTAGGAGAACATATTGTTGCCAGAAATAAAATAGGAGATACACCTTTCACATGGAAACATGAAAATGATTGGTTGTAAAAACATAAGTAGGCTGATATTGAAAACATAAAATTCATTATGTTATAGTAAATATATAAATTCAAAACAAACTTATGAGAACCAGATCCTTCTACAGCACAATCCCCATACCAAGTAAACTCAAAACAAAATGCATTTCATTTCGTTCCTTCTTTTTTATTTTTAAATTTAAATAAAAAACAATCTTACTTTACATACCAATCCCAGTTCCCTCTGCCTCCCAACTTCCCATTCCCCACACCACCTCCCCATCCACTCCTTAGAAAGGGGAAGGACTGCCATGGGTTATCCTCAACGTCTGTCACATCATTTGGTGCAGGACCTAGGCCATCCCCCATGTATCTAGATTGAGAGATTATCCCACCACAGGGAATGGCCTCTAAAAAGCCTGTTCATGCACTAGGGATGAATACTGTTTCCAATGCCAGAAGCCCCATAGACTGCCCAAGTCTCCAAATGACACCCATGTTCAGAGGATGTAGTTCAGTCTTTTGCAGTTTCCCCAGCTGTTAGCCTGGGGTCTGTGAGCTCTCACTTGCTCAGAGCTGCTGTTTCAGTAGATTTCCCCAGCATGGACTTGACCCCTTTGCTCATCCTGACTCCCTCTCTACAACTGGATTCTAGGAGTTCAGCTCAGTGCTTAGCTGTGAATCTCTACTCTTGCTTCTAACAGTTACTGGAAGAAGGTTCTATGATGGCATTTAAGGTAGTCATCAGTCTCAATATAGGGGAACGTGCATTTAAGGTAGTCTCTCCACTATTGCTTAGATTCTTAGTTGGGGTCATCCTTGGGGATTTCTGAGGAGAAGGGGACTACTGATCTGAATGGAAAAAAGCAGTGACCTTAAACTTCAGTTCCAAAGAATCCATGCAGCCTGATAAGGAACAAGAGAGGGAGCTCTGTCCGGTGGATCCCAGGGTCCCCAGTGGTTCGTGCATCGCAGTGACTTGTGGGAAGGGCAGTATAAGGCCCCTGTCAGAGTGAGGTTCAAGGTTTCCAGCACTTGGGCCTTAATCAGGCCCTATGTGGGAAGGTGGTGCACTGAGCATAGGTTTTGTTGTCTGTGGTAGAATTCTTAGTCTCAGGTGTTCACTCTACACTGGACTCAATTCCTGTGTAGTCCCTTCTCTCCATGCCTGGACTAAGATGCATAGCTTTGTCCTCCGCAATTGGGAAGGACTATGCTGAATCTAATCCCACAGAGCCTGTGGAATCTGGTGTCCTTACTGCTACAGTGCCAATTCCTGTCTTTAGCATCCTCCACTCTCATTGGCTTGTCCCTGTTGACATTTTCCAGCTGTGGCTGCTCTCTCTACACCCTGGGCCCATGTATAAGAGGAAGTGCTGGGAGTCTGTCCTCCAGAAGGTAGCCTTCCTGCGTATCCAGTGTTGTCTCATGGATTGATAGTTACGGCAGACTAGTCAATTAACTTTATCAGAAAATATCATTGCACATTCACACTCGTCTCCCAGTGAATATAAAATGCCTACTTTCATGTTTCATTTATTCTGTGTGTACATACCAGTGCACACTAATGTATGTATGAGTGCATGTGAGGAGCTCAGAGGACAAGCATCAGGAGATTGTTCTCTACTTTACCCATATGGGATGTGTGGATGAAGCTCAGGTACCACGCTTGGATGCAGGCACTTTTATCCCTTGAGTCATCTCACCACCCTCCCCTCCACAATTCATGTGTTTATTCATTTACAAAGGTAAAAATCCAGTTGTAAATTCTTGTACATGTAGACTGCCTATGTTCCTCGAATTCTATTCTTCAGTTCAATTAAACCAATTCCTTATACTCCACTGGAATGGGATTACTGCTATCCAAAATGCAATAGATATTAGTCACTAAGGGTCCGTTAAGACGTGTGCATAGTTACACTCTGAAATTTTAGTTCTGGAGCACAAAGCAGTACCAAGCTTTGCTCCCGCAAAGGTGATTCCGAATCAACAGGTTTCAGTCTATGGAGCAATCTATCCCACACATGTGGTGGCTAATGTTGCAATTAATTAGAAGCTACATTACATAGTCTGTTTCAGTGAGTGATGCCCTGCACTGTGTCACACTCTGTAAAGATAGACCACAGCACTGGATGTGGCTCTAACTGAAAACACCTGTCCCACACTAAGCTCTATGCACATCTCATCCTTAGCTTCCTGACTCTGCATCCTCACTACCTCTAGCTCATCTCTTCCTCAAACATGTAGAAAGTTCTAAGTTTATCCTTCTGTCTTACTGGTCAGACTCAAGTTCTGCACCTGAACTTTTCTTAGAAGGAAACAACCTTCGACTTCAGATGCCCCACTGAATACTTCACCATCTACTGTATAGATAGATACCCATGTTAGGATTTGAAACTGAAAGCAGTATCTGATTACTCTGATAACCAGGTTTCAACCACGCAATCTATTTTGCAACACAATGTAATTCAGTAAATGAGAATTAAGTTTTGTAGGCATAAAATGGCTTTTGTGGAACAGTAGAAGTTAATACCTCAGAAAAATTTTAGATCAACTCTGATTTAAACCTTGGCACAGATTTATTAACTAAGCTGTTTTGAAATGTAAGAGTATTATGACTGAATGGAATCTAAGTAATTAAAAAAAGCAGGCATGAACCTAATTATATCAATGATATATTAATTAGGCAAACATCACCCTAAATTCTACATATATTTTGTGCTTCCCATTGACTACACCACTACTAGTTTCCAGGAAATAGGAAACAAGGTGTTCTTTAAAAAGCAGGCTGAGGAGGGTTGCTGATGAATGCAGAGTCAAGATTTGAGATGGGCAGCAGGCTAGAGGCAGAGGGCTAGATGCAGAGACTGTGGTGAGTCTCAATATTGCCCTGCTTCAAGGGGTCTGTAGAGACTGAAACATATGTAGATCAACTAAAACAAGGGAGGTGAAGGGAAGATGCTTTTGAAAAGTAGTCATGAAGCTGGAAAGAAAGATGGTAGAGCAGAGTTGTGCATGTGTATGCACATGTATGCTGCAGTGGAGAATGGTGAGCCTAGAGTTGCAGCAGAGAACAGTATGGGAGCAACATGGGAGAGCATGGCCCAGAGGACAAAGAACATGGCATGACTGAATGCCAGCAAAGAGCAAGTGACTGTGATGCTGTCCCAAAGCTGTAAGCACAAAACTCACACTTAGTGAGGCAGGGCTAAAAAGAAGGAGGCTTGTGACATATGGCCAGCCTGCCCTATGGAACCAGCATGGCTTCACCCTTTGCTGGGAGGAGGGGAGCTGGAGCTGAGGAGGGAGACCCTCAGGCTACAAGCACAACAGCTATGCTCACCGAGTCCTAGGGTAGCTGGCATCAAGAACAGGGTGATTTCTGTGATGTGCAGTTTGAGAAGATCCTTCCCCCTGATGCCCTACCTAGCTGCAATGAGTATTTATGAGTCTGTGCATGTAAAGATGTAAGGTCTTTCCTAAGAGTAGCGTGCAATGCCATGTGCTGGAGTGGTGGGAAACATGGAGGAACTGAACTCTACACTCACAGTGCAGAGAGTTACAACTAGAGATGTGGTGGTGGTCAGGGAGAGCATGTCACAATGGAATAGGACCAGCAAGGTTGTGTGTAGCAGCCTGGAGCTTGTGGAGACTCCATCCACAAGTGTGCAGTCCACCTTCATGATCATCCTGACTCAGAGCAAAGATAGGAGCTCCCAGATGGAGAACAGTTCATTCTCTTTTTGGGGCTCCTCAGAAAGACTTGAAAGATCTGCGTTGCCCACAGAGACAGTGTTCTTATCCCTTATCCATCGTACAAGAAGCAGGATCGACAGGAAGTCCTTGAAGAAAACTCATAAAATTGTGATAGGGATCTTGAAGTATCGCTCTTCAAAGGGGGGAAGTCTTAGTCCCAACAAGAAGCAGAAGGCATGGTGGTGTCTGTTTGTCCAGAAGGGTAGGAGCTCAGTGCTTCTTACAGGTCGGTGGGTTAAGAAGCAGGCACAGAGGCAGAGTGTGGCTGGGATGTAAACTTGAGGTCCAGTCCTATACCCTATTTTCCAAAAGTCTACAAGTTTCTAAAACCATTGCCACCAGCAGCAAACTGAATATTTAAGCACAAGAGCCTGCAGTCATCATTTTATATTCAAGCCACGACTGTTGCCAGATGTAAGGAAACAGCTGTCTCAAAAGGACACTTTAGAAGAAAGTATTTTGAGATTTCAGTTAGAGACAGAAAAGTGGGCAGAGTGAATAGTATAGAAAGAGCTGGTTGAATAACTTCCCACAATTCTACCCTCCAGGGATTGTCCCTCGTTTGAAGGAACCTGGCCCTTGGAGATGAAAGCTGAGGAATATGCCTTCAGGAGAGTTTTCTGCCTGTCAGTTATGTCTTCCTGGCTCAGTTCTTGGCAGTCTCTCCAACCTAGAGGCACACAGTGTCTATCAAGCCAGTGCTTTTTCATTTAGTTTGTGCCCTTTTTATAACCAAAGTATCATTATGTATCAGGAACTGCACTCACACATATATGATGTGAATATTGATAAAATGTATGTATTCAATACCTCCAATAAGCTCTCAACCTTTCTTCATCTCAAGGAAAGAATAGCAGCCAGCTTCATGCTGTCTTAATTACCTCTTCACTGACTGCCATTTTCAGTGCATATAAAACCATTGGCTTATTGTACAGAACCTAATCTCAGTGCTACAAAATGGAGAGGGCAGAGT